GCGGCCACGCCGCGGGTCCCGTTCCACTGCAGCGAGTGTGGCAAGAGCTTCCGCTACCGCTCCGACCTGCGGCGCCACTTCGCCCGCCACACGGCGCTCAAGCCCCACGCCTGCCCGCGCTGCGGCAAGGGCTTCAAGCACAGCTTCAACCTGGCCAACCACCTGCGCTCGCACACCGGTGAGCGCCCCTACCGCTGCTCCGCCTGCCCCAAGGGCTTCCGGGACTCCACCGGCCTGCTGCACCACCAGGTGAGTCGCGGGGCGCGGGGGGCCGCCCCGAAGTGCGCTGGCTGCCTCACCTGCCTGGCCAGCGCCGCGCCCGCCACTGCCCACAAGTGCGGCCAGGCCAGCCCCGCGTCCGCCCCGCCCCGCCCCGCCCCAGCCACTGCCGCCCTGCTCACCGCTCCCTCGCCTCTGAAAACAGACTCCTGCGCCTCGTGCACAGTTCCTGTATTCCGGGGCCAGCAGCGTCCCTGCCCCAGCCCTGCAGCCCGGGCACTGCCCCAGGGGCTGTCCCGGAGCCCTGAGACCCTGCAGGTGGGCAGGGCCTGCCAAGGAGAGAGCAGGTGCAGGCAATGTCCTGCAAGGGACGCGCTTCGGCAGCCAGGGTTGGGCCCCCCAGGCAGGGCGCACACCGGGGCCAGGCAGAGGCCACCTGATGAGGCCAGGCGGGAGTAGCCACAGGAGGAGCCTCCGGCACGTGCAAAGGCCCGGTGGCGGCCGCAGCGGCACACACGCAGGGCTGGGGGGGCTTTGTGCAGGCCGCGCCCGCCGCCGCCCCAGGGCTGGAGGAGCGGCCGCCTCCCCGGCGCCCGCCTGCTTCCAAGTCCGCATCCTGGCCGCAGCTCCAAGCCGGCTCCCGGCTCTGCCACGCACGTCAGCCTCAGCGCCCAGCAGCCCCTGGCACCCTCAGTCCTGAGACTAACGGGGGCGCTTCCCCTTGACGTGACAGCCACGTTCCCTGAGGTACCCCCTGGGCATCGGCGGGCCGTCATTCAGCTGGACACTGAATGCCCCCAGCCGGGCCTGGCCCATCGCTAGGTACGGCTCCCCAGAATGTCCACCGCACAGGGCCTCTGGGTGGCTCTCCTGAGTCCACTCCCCGCCGGGCAGGCAGCTGGGCCGGGCAGCCCTCTGCCCGGTCCACGTCGGCCTGGAAGGGCTCCCCGCCCCACCACCCAGCAGGCCCTGAGCAGCCGCCAGACAGGGCAGGGCCGCTCGGTCTAGTTCGGCCGGGCTGTGCTGTGGCTTTGGCCCTGCCCTGTCCTCCCCCGTCCAGGAGGCGGCACGGACGGCCTAGGGTCACAGCCCGGGGCCCGCGGGGCTGAGCCCGGCCCTGAAGGCGGGCGGCGTCCCCAGCGGGGCCGAGTGTGTCGGGGCGCTGAGGCCGGGGGCCCCGGCCTTCCCGAGTGGGGGCCGTCAGTGCGGCCCACGCTGGAGGGCGCGGGGGGCGCGGGGAGCAGCGGTCCTCCCCCGGCGGCCCTGAGTGCCCGACCGTGTGCTCCCCGCAGGTCGTGCACACGGGGGAGAAGCCCTACTGCTGCCTGGTGTGCGAGCTCCGCTTCTCCTCGCGCTCCAGCCTGGGCCGCCACCTCAAGCGCCAGCACCGCGGGGCGCTGCCGTCCCCGCTGCAGCC